GCATCCAAAGCCAAAGTCCAGGATTCTACCAGCGCTACTGCTACAGAAGACCAGACGAACGCTCGCCTACATGAACCGACTTGGCTCCAAGCACAATTTAATAAAGAAGAATCAGCCTTTCTTTGATGGATAAGAGCTGCAATGTGTTTGTGTCAGACTTGAAAAGTGGGAAGGCTGACGTTAAGGGGTTTTCAGCAGGGTCATAGCTCTCCATCTGTCAGGCTGAAGGTTGCACGTAGAGGGTCTGCTGCGCTCAGTACGGCTCCATCTTGATCCTTTTGTACAAGCAGCAGGTGAACACCATCCCACAGATCTGAAAACAGGAAGTGCCAAGTCAGGAGTGCAGCTCTGAAAGACTGCAGGAAGCTCCGGGTTGATTTAGGAAGGGGGGAAAAACAGGAGGGTTAAAGGTGATGTGGGTGAGAAGCTGCTGGGATGGTATGGAGCAGGGTTACTATGGAGACGTCAGGGGGTCAAGTAGCCATGACTGCAGAACACGTGCGTGTGAGTGTGTGTATGCACAAGCTGGTGCAGAAAGATGAAAACCAAGCAACTCTGTAACAATGGATGCCATGTGAACGACATGACTTTACTGTGAAAAGAACGTTTGGACTTTATAAAAATACAAAAGGATCTACAATCTGTGCTTCTGAACTTCAATATTTGATATCAGGCACATGGATAAATATAATTAGTAACATTGTAACTAATAAATCAAGATGTATTGGTCAGAAATTGATGTAAATTTAGTCATAAGAGTTTAACAGTAAAACCACAAAATATTTTATTTGTTTTATTTTCTCTCTCCGGGTTTTAACGCCATCTGTCCTTGACATTTCAACAAAAAACAAATAAGTCAAACTGTAGGAGACTATAATAAATGAATGGAGCAATCACTGAATCACAAGTTGCAAAATCACTACACTACACAGAAACTATATTTAAAAAAGAAAAGGTCCAAAAATAAAGCTAGAACTGCTGGAGTTGGTATTCACTGGCGACAGCCGTCCTGCCGAGTTGATGAATGGACCAGTCAGGAGTCCAAGTGTAATCTATAAAAGTCTAAAAGCTCTGTGGACGACGTCTTATTGAGGGTCTGTGATGAATATTGACTAAAAAGAAAAAAAAATCTCAAGGCAGAAGTTATTTAAAAATATTATTTAAAAAAAGATATGACGTAGCAAGAAAGGAAGAATGTGATTTTAACCTGAATGAGTGATAATTATATAAAGTTATAATGACCATTATGTCAAAGTCATTTGGATTTGTCCTTTAAAAAGCTGTTACTGAGTGGTCTGGTCTGCATTAACAATTACCATAGCAACAACTAATCCACCTGCATCACAAGTACTTTGTATGTGATATTCACATACTGTATAAAACAATGAAATTACAGAAGAACATTTTCTCTTGAGTCAACACCAGTGAATTCCAAACATATCTCTGTGGATATGAACTTTTAAAAAAGAATCACTTTAAAACAAAAAGGTAGAGACAGAATATCTACTTTCACGGCCTTTCACGATTAATTTTGAAATATTTTTTCTTGGTGACTGTTCCCTTAGCTTCTTCATACTATCATTTACTCCGGTTGTACTCTGACCAGCACAGGTACTTAATGAAGTATTCATGAATGGTAATCAGTGAGCAGATGCAGTTATGTTCAGGGTCTGACCTTCCTGATGTTGTTACAGCAGCAACAGCCCATTATCACAACATGCAGAGCAGTAATTGACAGTGCATGAGCCAAAGCCATGCAGACATGCATTACACAAACACAAACACACACACTGCAGAAATAACCACTGCAGATTTTCACAGACACGGACATGCAAATTTCCACAGTGCCCTCCAACCTGGTCTCTCCAGCCGATTAAACCAGAAAGAGCCAAATCACATTGTACCAAAGTCTTCTTCCTCTTCTTTATAAAGCAGGTAAATAAAGCAGGCGGTCAAAGCTGCCCCAGCCAGCTGCTCACACACACACACACACACAGACACACACGCATAGTACAAACCACCAGGTAAATGTTAATGTTGTAAAAGAGAAAGAGGAAAAAACAAAGGGAATTAAAAATGCAGCGTCGGATTGACATGAACGTCAACAAATCCACATAATTAGTTGAAGCCAATCACTACAAACAGGACAGAGGATTAAAAGCTGACAAAAACAAACAAGTTAGTTCAAAGAGACAGATCAGACTTGGACTAGACAAACATTTGAACAGTATTAAATAAATGGCTCCTTCAACATCATCATCCAAACTGTGACTTTAGTTTCCATCTGGGGCATATGAGGGTAACAGACACGACGGTTCCACAGAAAACATTTCTGTTAGAGCGCTGTGCAAACTGTGAAGGCTTCTGGAGGAGTGGATGACATTAAGGACAGAAGTGTCCCATTTGGAAGTGGTTGGTTTTGTGCAGCTGCAGTACGGACAGATCCTTCATTCAAATGTTCTCCATAAAAAATACATACTAGGATACAGAACTAACACAGGTCAGGTAGAACCCTCATGTTTTATTTCACAGCCTGTACTGATGTTTCGACACAGTGGTACCAACTGTGGCTTTGTTTTGTACGGAGAACAAGAACAAGATGCTGGAGCGAGTTTTTAAGTATTTGGACTTACCTGCAGACAGGCTACTCCTATTCCCACAGCACCAATGACCAACAAGTGGTCTGCCAGAAACTGCTCCAGCTTAGTGATGCATCCTCCCTGCACAGCCAGATGATAAAAACCTCACAGTAAATGCATGGTTGTATAAAAGAAAAGTGTATAAGAAAATATTATATTTATTGCAAAAAATATAACTTTTTCTTTCTATGATTTTTCTGTCATTTTTTATTTACTAACCTCCACTTTGTAGATGTTGGACGGGTGGTCTCTGCGGCCACACACTGGAGTTATGGTCTTACAGCAACTGTCGGGCACAACTCTGTTTTCCGCCTGCTTTGAGGAAATGTACACACTGGCCACCCAATCATGGGAGTTGTTGCTGCCACAGCACTTAAACTGCAGTAACAAAGTGTAGAGAACAAAATGTGTTTTTGAATAAGTACTCGACGGCTAAAGCATCGGTACTAGATACTAGAACATTTATTCAGATAATTGTATTCATACATCTTGTTGTAGTCGATCGACAGCCAGTGTGATGGCCTCCTTTCCTGGCTGGGCATAGTTTTCAGTCATAGTTTGGTTGAGATGCTGCTTCAGTTCCTCGCTCAGCTGGGAACAGAAGAAAAAAACAAAGAGAGACATATCAAAGGCAGTGAGAGAGAGAAGCAGTTATCTGTAAAAAAAGAAAAAAAACACAGAGAACTTGGGAAAAATAGGCACAGAAAAGAAAGTGTGTAGGAACAAGGGCTATCAGGCTGACATGAAGAAAAGGTGGGAGGATTGTATAAGAAAGACAGACAGAAACTCCTCCACTGCTGCAGTACAGGGGGGAATACATTTAAAATTCCCTACGAAGTCAAATCTCAACTGAATATAAAGCTTGAGGGAGAAACTCGTGGGAATTACTTTAAAGAACATCAAAGCAGACAGGATTAATCACCATTGTCATATTTCAACGCTCCACTAGAACTGTATGGTGGTGAGTGCGTCTGTAAGGCCACTGTCATCTGCTTACTGCTTTTCCAGTTTTCCCTTTCTTTTACAAATGGCGGAGAAGCATCTTGGTTAAAATGTTTACTTTTAGTACACAGATCCTGGAGTTGGCAGTCTTGTGACGCAATTGATTTTGAGGTCGGGTAAAATCCAAGAGAGAAAAAAACATGATGCAGGATATGCTAAAGAATCAGCTAACGACTGAGCTTTGAAACAATGTGACAGATGGAGACACACAGGCGCTGTCTTTGGATCCTTTTCTTTTTTTCCATGGGTAAAAGATAACAAGGATAGTACAGTACATTGTTACTGTTATGATAGTGAGTCATTTTAGAGGTCATCTGAGGGGCCAAATGCAATAACAAAAAATATATTTTGAACTCAAGAGTTCTGCAGAACCCCTGACACAGATTTACCCTAAAGCTAATGTTGATTTATCGTATTAATAAT